ATAATAATAATTATAATAATTATTATTATAATTATTATTATTATTATAATAATTATTATTATTATAAAAATTATTAATTATAATAATAATAATTATTATTATCATTATTATATTATCATTATTATTATGATTATTATTATTATCATTATTATTATTATCATTATTATAATTATTATTATTATTATGATTATTATAATATTACTTTTAATATGTTATTGATTTTTATTACATTGTGAAAATGGGGTGATCTATCTATATACCAAGAAAAATGGTGTGTACTAAAACGGTAAAAGATCTAACATGGGATAAATCTATCTATTATCCAATAAATACAAATTAATAAATGGAATGTACAAAATTCTTTTGTAACTAATATTAATTATAAATTTTAGGGTTTTCTTGTTGTAAACAAATTTGAATTATTCTTGTAGTAACTAGTTATGATAAATGAGATTTATCATAATCTCAAATAATAAAAGGATATTTCATAAGTTTTTTACTCATTTAAATCTCCAAGATCAAACATTTAACTACAAATTAATTCAAATTTTCATTCTGATGATCATAGATTAACATTTATCTTTATAAGAAATGATAATATAATAATAAATTGAGCTTAGGAAAATTAACGAAACTAGTTTATAGTTAGAAATAATAAAAATATTTAAACTAAATAATTTAGAATATTTTTAATTATATAGAATTTCGTACAACATAGTTTACAACAATGAGGTGTGTTTAAGAATATTAAACTAGTTATATGATCATTGTAAATATCATAAATGAATAAAATAACATAAACTAGTAACACCTTATTAGCTATTAATTTAGAATTAAAAGTATCATAAATTAAATAAGTAAATAAAATTAGGAGCACATCACAAAATAAATATACATAAATAAAATATAAAATAAATAAATATAATAATATAAAAAATATAAAAAGAATAAAGGTCTTCTCTCTCTTATCTTAATAGAAAAATGAAACCGCTTAGAAATAACTTAAAAGAAATTTTTTTCCTCATGCTCCTTCTCTTTCTTCTTTCTCAATTTTCTTTCTTAGTTTTCTTATCTTTAAAGCCTTCCCTCACCATGTCTATTTTTAGGCAAATTGATAATAATTACCGATGGTAATTTTTTTTCTTCCCTTTTGGTTAGAATTGAACAAGAAAGTCTTAATTCCTTTACATATAGATAATCCCTCCTTTCCTAGGGCCTAGGGATATGTGTTCGTACTTCGTTCACTACTGTAGATAAAATCTATAGCAATTTTTTTTTAAAATTTCTTCTTTCTATCTATATATATAAGAAATTTAAAATAATTTTATTACTTATATTAAATGTTTAAAATTTAATATTAAAAAAATTTATATAAAACATTGTATTTAATCACTATTTATTTTAAAATATAGCAACTAGAAATTTAGACTATTATTTTAAAAATAAGATGATAATAATAATAAAATTGAGAATATTAAAATATTATACCACAAATTTAGAATGTTACAAATAATACAAATATTTTAAAAAAAATAGCATTGATATTAAAAAAAGTATTTAAGTGTAAATTATGTTTTCTTTTTATTAGAGATGCAAATATTACATTATTTTTTTGCTTAAATATATTTTTAGTTCTTGTAAAATAGATAAGTTTTTATTTTGATCCTTGTAAAATTTATTTTTTATTTTTCATTTTTCTAAAATTTTTAAACATTTTAGTCTTTTTAAAATGAGAATTTTAATTTTAGTTCCGAAAAAATATTTTTTTTAATTTTTATCACTCTAAAATATAAATCACTATTTTTTTTGTCTCAAATGATGATTTTAAGGTAGATAAAAAAAAATATTTATTTTCATGATCTATAAAAACCAAAAAAAAAATTAGAGATATCACACACTAACTTTGTATCACTAATAGTTACTTAATAAGTAGTTAAAATTATTATATAATATCAAAGATTAAAAGCAATATGGCTAAATTGTATAGAGATGAAAAAAAAAATACAAATAATAAAATCAAAACTTACATATTTTATAAAGACTAAAAACATATATATGTAAGTTTTATTTTCTTTTTCTTTTTTTTTTCTGTTAAAATATACACTCATCTCTCCTAACTAATTTAAATATATATGTAAGCTTTATCTTCTATTTTTCTGTAAGCTTAACAATTCACATCAAATCTTGTAGGTAAATTTAATTGATATAACTGTTGAATTATATGTTATTATACTCAATATCATATATATAT